ATAAAATTTCTAAAAAAAAAAGAAATGGACGAGCAAGAAAACCGAGCAAGAGCTTCATACTTTCCTTAATTTTGTTCAACAATCTTGCATTTTCCTTAATTTTCTTCATTTTTCATTCTTTTTTCTTTTTTTTTTTCTTTTTACTTTGTAAGTCTTTTAAACCTTCAAGCTACTTTCAATTTAATGGTGTTATGAGTTTTCTTATTCTAGGACATTTGATATTTTTATAACATTTAGGTCTCTAATTGAGAAAAAAAAATCTTTTAGGTCCCGATTTGATAGTTTACCTAAAAAAACTCCTTGTTTATATAACCTTAATTATGCAAAAAAAAAAAAAAAAAAAATACTCAACACATAGTTTCAAAAATTAACTCATTGAGCATACAAACAAAATAAAACATGGAAAGACTAAATTAACCCATTTCATATGAGCGAAAACCTTAGTTAATACAAATCAAGACACCTAAATCTGCTCCACTTTTGTTTTCTCATTTCCTTTTTATTTTTTTTTATTATTATTGTTTTTGTTTTTTGCAGCATTCAAAAAATTCAACTGCAACCTAATTTCCACTTACTCCAATTTTTATCATGTCGTAGTCCTGTCATTATCCCTTCAAGCTGCAATCAAAGCTCGAAAAGAAACGAACAAAAATAGATAAATAGCGTGTCATATGAAGAAAATTGCAAGTGATGTTTGGTGTTGTTAAAGTAGTACCTTGACGATTCAGCCCATAAAATGATCACCATATTTCTTTGCCAGTTTGTATTCGACAACACGAACCACACGTATCATCTTGATTTATTATCACGAAATTTGGACAAATCCAAGTGAATGTTCCATATTAGCAAGATGGAGGGTGGATGCACAGATGATTTGTCATATAAAAACAGACAATTGGATACAGTATCATTGTCATTTGAGACATTGCAGTTATCACCACACAATCTCTCCAGCAGCTCCTTCGTGCCAACGACAGTAAGTCCTCGTGCGCCAGATTCTTCTTGAAGCTGCTTTATACTCATTCTTCGCATGTCATCAATGGTCTTCACTTTCTGCAGCGCATGGAAGTGCGCATTACTATCTTTGATATCATCTATCACCACCAAAATGTCCCACAATAGTGGAATTAGGTATGACTGTACAGAATTTACAAATGACAGGTTAATACAATTCGAGAAGAGTTTGCACCACGGCACTCTTGATGATAAATAGAAAATCCCATATCAGAAAATACCCAATCAGTAGAGTATAACCAACTATCCATCATAAAAGTTAAATTCATGCATGCATATCACAGGTAACATTCTCATATTTCGTCCTACTAATGACAAAATATTAATATCCAACAGTTGTATCGAACCAACAATTAGTCGCTAACCCATTTTCGGACCACATATACCTAAGGATAGAGTGAGAGACAAATTTAATTACCTTCGCCATTGTTTTTAAAATCGTTGGCAACTCCAGCACAGAGCCTCTCCAGAAGCTCCTTACTTCCAGCAGCAGTAACTCCACTACTCGAAGCCTCTTCACGGAGCTGTTTCAAATTCATCGCTCACATCTCGTCAATGGACTTCATTTTCCTAAGTGCCTCGTATCAGTATCCGTGTTGTCGGAATCCCTCCGCCTCTTGCGGCTGGAGCTCGAACCAGAGTTCGAATCCATCAATTTCTGCCTCTCGTCTTGAAGAGCGGCTTCAAGCCTCCGAACCTGAATTTATTAACAACAAGAATAACATTTAAAAAACTCAACTGTCAAATTATTAATTTCTTATTATAATAAATAAAAAGTCGCCTACCAGAATAGGCTTAATATTAATATACATTAAATATTTAATTACATTAATAAATAATTCAATTATTGTTTCTTCAATATAATGGGTGAGTAATATTGCTCGGTCAACCATAATGTTACAGAAACTGGTAAAGAAATAATAAAAGTTCGCAGCAAACATATTAGTATGTATAACCGGTCCTCCTATAAGAAATAATAAAAGTCGCAGCAAACATATTAGTATGTATAACTGGTCCTCCTATAATTATAGTCAAGTTTTGTGAACTATCTAAACAGAGTTTGCATAACCTAAACACACAAACACACATGATGTAGTTTAATGTACGAAAATAATCTTGTTATAGCCGTGACTAATTCTTATCTTTTCATCTGTATAGCTGCAGCATACATACAGAGGATGAAGAGCAAAATAAAGTTTCACCTTTATGGTTAATTCTATAGGCATAAAAAGCTCAATATTAGCAAAAGTTTCTTACAGAAGTTCCAGTGTGAACTTGGTCTCCAATTCAGCTGAAATCCCATATGGACCAGTCATAGTCATTCATCGTGATATCATATGTGTTGATGCTAGATTTTCTTAATATAAAATTAAGTATCAAAATCTTGTAATGAACAATTATATATGATAATAATATTCAGACGGGTAAATAATGCACAATAGGACCTATTTTCCAGTCTGGAGAATTTCAAACCCAACAAAATATAGACCAGAAACTTCATGTTGCCATTTGTCTGAATAATCTAAAGTAATCTTCATCAGCTTCTGAGAGTTAGATAGCAATCATTTATGCAGACACTAAAAGAATAACAAAAAAAGAACAAAACTTGGTACATGAATGATCTCTTGAGGTCACTTGCTTTCCCATTAAACCTTTTGCAGCATTCTCTAACCAACTTTCTGTTTCTTCCTACAATGAAAAATAATACAAGTCAGTCTTAGACAGAAACCTTGGACACATATGACCTTTTCTGATGAATTTTATTTAATTATAGTTTTTGCTTTTTGTATGTCTGTTGTTCAAAGAGGAAAGCGAGGCACAGACCTTCTGCTCCAATACATAGCCACCGTGCTCCGGCGGACTTCACAGGCAGTCAGATGTAATGTCGCTTGATGCTCGCCGCCACCTCTGTGACAGAGCCGCCGCACAGTTTACTCGCTCAACCGCCGAAAGGGTATCTCATCACATGAAAGACGATGAGAATATAGCATGACAAAAGTATCAGGAGATACATATTCTTTAATAATAACCCCGCCATAGTTACAGAAAACTCATTCCCAAAGATATTAAAGTACCTTAACTATAACTTCAGATATATAGTTCTTCATGCCATCTTGTTGTTCAACAGGTAAAGCGTTCCATTTGCACTTAATAACACCTTCTCGAACCTGCACATGGATATGGCAAGTAAATTGCTTCAGTATGGTGAAAAGAATGTAACAATCAGTTAACAGTGTACAGTAAGTTTTTGTGTAACATGTTTTAAGGAATCCCGGTCACAACAACTATCATTGGCATGCAGCAGGCCATATGCTGAAAATTGATCTGCCCCGATCGAATTCTTCAGGAGATAAAGAAAAAGGCTCGAGTTTGGAAATTGTAGTGGACACCAGAGGGTTGCGTGTTTTGTTATGGTTTGTATTTTACAAATTTTAACCTCAATTACAACACACACGAACAAAATTCTTAACTTTGTTGATAATTTAACAAACGGGTGCGCACAATTTCAATACAAAGTTCTGCGGTACCACCACCGCCTGACCCTCACGCACCTCGCCGTTCAACACCGCCTGACTCCGGTGGTTCACGAGCTACACACCATTATCGCGTTCTGCCAAAAATAAAAAAAAAATAAAAAAATGGCAATTAACTTTGAAAAACGGACTAATTAGAAATAATTGCTTTAAGCCCCTCACTGTGCACAGGACTCCCATGGCGCCGCTAAGGCGTAAGAAGCCGAGGACGGCAGTGTGAGGCTGTTGACGGTGGTCAGACCCTCTTCGGCATCGTCGCTGCGTGTGCGACCCTCTCTTCGACTTGCGTCACCACCTCCACCCGCCGACAACGCCGTTGGATCCACGGAGAAAAGTTGTGCACAATTTTGATCGGGCAGTAGGATGATAGAGAGAGATTCAAGGAGATCTGATTTTTTTGTCAAAAGATACGACAGAGAATTTGGTGATTTTGTGAGATTTTTGCAGAGAACGTACGCAAACTATCATGAAATTAAGGAAATCTGTCTTTTAAAAAATCGCCTGTAAAAAGAGTAAAATGTGAGGGGTATAGGTAAGGCATGGCGCTACACGGGAAAACAGTAAAAACAGCTAAAAGCGGATAATACGGAGACGGCAGAGGCGCTTTCAAAGACCAAGTGGGAAAAATGGATGAAGAAGCTAAAAAAAGTGTATTGACTATAGTAACCTCACTAAGCATGTCAACCTAAAACCAAAGAACAAACACATGAGAGGCATTTTGGGCATAAAAATGACACATGTCAAGTTCTCAACCCCTTACATTTTTGCTTATATGTAAGGGGGAGATATACAATTAGGGAATTTATAATAATAATAATAATAATAATAATAATAATAATAATAATAATAATAATAATAATAATAATAATAATAATAATACCCGAAAACAAATCCAATAATCAAACGGGTTAAATTCGAACTACGCGATTAAACCGAAATCGCCGAACAACGAACGTTTTAAAATAAAACGATCGGGTATTCCAACCGTTTATTTAAATCGGCAACGCGACCAATAAAATAAATATAACATCATAAATAATAATCGATAAATAGAATATTCTGAGAAATTCTATAAATAGAATGGGGCATTACAAGTCTTCTGAGGTCGTCCCGGACGTTCTTGAATCCGACCCATGGACATACAATGAGGCACTCCAAGATCGGGACGCAGAGTCTTGACAAAAGGCGATGAAATCTGAAATAGAGTCAATGGACACTAATCAGGTCTGGGATCTTGTAGAGCCTCCTAGTGGCGTTCGCGCCATTGGATGCAAGTGGGTCTATAAGAGAAAGAGAGGAGCAGATGGGAAGGTTCAGACATTCAAAGCTAGGCTTGTTGCGAAAGGGTACACTCAGAAAGAAGGGATCGATTATGAGGAAACCTTTTCGCCGGTAGCCATGCTCAAATCCATCAGGATTCTCTTGGCTGTGGCCGCTCATATGGATTATGAGATTTGGAAAATGGATGTTAAGACCGCTTTCCTTAACGGGAATTTGGACGAGGACATCTATATGCAGCAACCAGAAGAATTCATTGCAAAGGGCCAAGAGCATCTGGTCTGCAAGCTGAAGAGGTCCAATTATTGGCTAAAGCAGGCTTCGAGGTCTTGGAACATCCGTTTTGATGAGGTTGTCCAATCATATGGATTTACCCAATGTCCGGATGAGCACTGTGTGTACAAGAAAAGTGATGGAAACGTGGTGGTATTTCTAGTGCTGTACGTGGATGATATTCTTCTCATTGGAAACAGTGTGAAGATGTTGTCAGACGTAAAGGTATGGTTATCCAAGCAGTTTGATATGAAGAATTTGGGTGAATTAGGACATGTTCTCGGAATCAAGGTCATTCACGACCGAGAGAAGAGAAAGTTGTGCCTATCCCAATTCACATACATAGACACTGTCCTAAAGCGTTTCAACATGCAGGATTCCAAGAAAGGGGATTTACCCTTTCGGCATGG